TAAAGCTAACAAAAGGGCAAGAGATTAGAAGATGAAGTGCAGTCTCACCATTCAACTTACACAGGACATACCAGTTAGGGGACAAACACCAATTTGGTCTTTTTCTTTGAAGTCGATCATAGGTATTAATACAACCATGACACACTTCGCAGCAAAAAGCACTAACTTTAGGGGGAATGGGAGAGTACCAAATTTCCTTGACTGGGAAAGAAGGAGACGAGGAGGTGGCTACCAAAGAATGTAACAAGGATTTACAAGAAAAAAAGCCATCAGAATTAGGTCCCCAAACCCTAGAATCCGATCCAACTTCTCCCAAGAACACTGAACTCAGCAAGTTTAACAATTCGGGCACGCTAGGAAGTTCATACTCTCCAAGGTTCCTCTTGAAGCCAAAGTTCCAATTCAGCCCCGAGGGATGGGAGTGCTGACTCAAAAATTCAGAAATAGGCCTACCCTTGAAGCTAGAAAGATCAAAAAGAGAAGGGAATCTCTCACACAAAGGGATGTTCCCAATCCACACATCCTCCCAGAATCTGATTTTTTTTATCAAAAGCCAAATCATACCTGATATGATTTAGAAAGGTAGGAAGGAGATCATGGATGAGCTTCCAAGGGAGCAGCCAAGGTAGCTCTATGAATACATCCAGCATCCCATCCATTGCCTGACAAGCCGTGAATGCTTGCAACTATTTTGTGCCATAATTTCTCATTTTCATTCGGAAACCTCCATAGCCATTTGCTGAGCAAAGCCCGATTCTTCAAACTAACATTACCAATTCCCAATTCCCCTTCTTCCTTCAATTTCACCACCTCTCCCCATCTGAACTAGCAGATCTAGGGTTATCACCTAGGAGTAAACCTAAATATTTCATAGGCCACACTCCTTTCTCACAACCTAGGGAATCTGCCATGAGCCTCAAATCTTCCTCTTCAATGTTGGTTGCAACAACTAAGCTCTTTGACCAATTAATCATCAAATTAGACACCCTCTCAAAGAGCTTTACCACCAACGTCAAGTTTTCTACCCTCTCCTTACATCATGTAATTTTACTCACCAACATCTTGTAGATTTCCTCCAATTCCTGAAACATTTTCCTAGTAAAGGGTTCTCCTATAACATTCAGCCCAATGCCTTACTAACTTCCAGCTTCATATCAACCACTTTATTCAAATCAATAGTTCTTTCAATGTAATGTGTCTCATCAACACAAATTTCTTCTTCACTTGAATCCCTTACACTTCTATCATCTTCAGACAAATCTTCTGCCCTCTGTTGCCTTCCCTTCTCTGTTAAAGTCCTTGTCCAATAGTTCCTTTTTCTGTTGTAAACTCTAGAAGGAGCACCTTGTGTATTTTTCCGGTTGCCTCCTCTTCTTTCTTCACCCACCTCTTTACCTCCTGAGCCATTGTTTACAACTTTGCCAATCCCTTCAACCTCTTCTTTCCCCCTTCTTCCCTAATATCACCTTCCAGATAATCGATGGACTCTTGCACCTCAGTCACTGCCTCTCTCCTTCATTTCCATTTGTAATAGCATCCCAATGTGTTTTTTTCTCTCTCCATAGAACTTCCCCCACCCTTATTGTCCTTTTGTCCAACTTTAAAACCAAAGAAATCCAGAAATGAATGCACATCTTCCATAGAGCCATTTGATATTCTAAAAAAATTAAAAATTTAAATTTAAGCCTAAATTTGTATTCAAAATTGTATATTATCAATTGCAAACTTATTCTCCTATTCACTCACCCCCTATTTAGAAATTTTTTTTTGAAAAGGTAAGATAAATTTATTAAAATTAACTCATAAAAGTACAGAACAGAACCTGCCCACAAATGGACAGGGCTGAGGGACTCCCACTACAAACACCAGATTGACTGAGTTCTCAATAGATGAGTTACATTTGAGTTTCTGAATTCAAAGTGACCGAGATCCAAGAAAGCAGTTTACCAACAGCCAGTTGAACTATATCCTCTGCCCCTCTCACTTTTTGATTAAAAATTCTGTTGTTTCTCTCAGACCAAATGGCCCAAACCACAGCTGCCGGAATAGTGGCCCAAATCACCCCCTATTTAAAAATTTAAGTGGGTCATATAACTGTACACCAAAACACACACAAATACATAAAATTAAATCCAGGCCATGGCCACCAGGTAATGCAGGCCTAATTGATTTGCTGGCTAATTTAATGGCCTCTTCAGGCCTTAGGCTTTACTTAGTTGTCAAAATAGAAGAGTATATTAGGTGTTTTGGCCTTTTCTTCTGGAATTGTTTGGATGTGAACATTAATAGGTCCTAGTCACGTTTGCATTTTTTTTTTGATAAATAACGTTTGCATACTTTTTTGATAGTAAATAAAAAAGAAAATTCATTAAAACAGAAGAGGTAAGTTACAAAACAGGTGATAAGGAATCACCCAAGACAAGGAACAAACATAACAAAAACCCAAATAATCAATCCCTTATTTCACAACCCCGCAGACCCTACATCAAGTAAATCAAAAATCCACACTGGCCCTGCCCATGCACTTTTTTTTATCAATAACCCTGCCCATGCACATTACTACATATAGAGCACCAACCTCAAAACCCACCCTCCCAGGAACAACTAGCTAAGAACCATACCCACTAAATCCAACTCCAACATGCCTGATACAAAATCTACACCCCAAGAGCAAAACAAAAACATAGTAGGACATTCTGTACCCCATTGAAATTCTTTTCTTACTGGAGCCAGAACCCCTTTGTTTCTCTTGCAAATACTCTTTGTTTTCTTAACCTTTTTTGGGACTAACCACAAACAAGCCCCCCTTAATCTGGCAAAAATTTATGTAACATGTACCATTCTAGTCTTTCTGAGTTTTGAACCTTCTTACTGCATTAGAGACATTCTCTGACCTCTTTGTAAGTCCTTGGAATTTTCGTTTATTCTTTCTAATTCTAGAACCACATTCCTCTTGAAGATTTGCCCTGTTACCAACCCACCTTTCTCAAAGTCCTTACAACCATATTGATCAAAAAAAGTTAGTCCTTACAACCATACCTTACACCTTCCGTAGACCTAGTTTTTTTGTGCTTCAACACTTCATCCACTGGAAATGTTCTTGTCAGAAATCAACTTCTCTTGTTCTGTCCTCTTGAGAGGCCTCCCAAATTTTCTTCCAATTCCTTAATTTTTTTTCCTTGCAGCTTCCTCTCCCCCCCCCCCAGAAAAAAAAAAAAAAAAAAAAAAAAAAAGTGTGGTTGTAAAACTATATTTAAGACATGGAGTGAATTTTAATGGCTGAAAAGCAGCTAACAAAAGTGAAGGAAATAACAAACAGCTGACAAAGGCAGAGGAGGCAACAAGCAGCTAATAAAACAATGTGGAGGTGTATTGAGGTAACAATCGTGTTGACAATCTGGAAAGAAAGGAGTGCAAGAATACTCAAAGATAAAAGTTAAAAAAAAAAAAGGAAGCAAGCATTGAAATTATTATGGTGAGGATGGCACATCAGGTAATCTTTGCTCAATTTTCTATGATGACATCATTAGAGGACAGGTCACAGGAGTGGTCCTTTCTAGCCTGGCCAACAAATTTCCAGGCTTCAGCTAGGTTTGTGCTCAGGCCCAGCATGCACCAGGCCTGGAAATTTGTGGGCTGGGCCTGGGCCCAACATAACATTTATTCCATGCATACATTATAGGACATTAAATATTATATATACATTTAATATAATGTATTTAGTCATAGGCCTGGAAGCCCAGCCAAGGCTTATATTTCAGAACTGAGCCTGGGCTGTCGCCCTTATCATAGGTGCTAAGCCTGGCCATGATCACCCCTATTAGAGGGTGGCAAATCATTGCTTGCTCTTTAACAGCTAGAGCACCTATAGTCAACTGTGATCACCTCCTACTCATGATTTCATCAAAATGAATTTAGATGGCTGCAGATTAGGTAATCCGGGATAGGAGTCTTCAGAAATTGCTATGGAACTAAATTGGCATCATTCAGAAAACAATTTCCTCCCTCCTACCATTACTACTACTACTACCCCCCCCCCCTTTCTACTATCTAGTTCCCTCATTGTTTGCTATGCTTCCTCAAAGAAGATATTTTGAGCCTTGAAAAGTGGACTGGCATGCACATTTTTTGTAATAAAAAGAAAAGATTATTAAAAAAATAAAAGAGAACTGATTACATCCACATGAGGTGTTGAGATAGCATGCAATAAAATCAAACAAAAACACAACTCTAAAACCACCCAACACCTAAAAGGGCCACTGCCTACGCAAACAGCACAACCTGCCAATGCTCCAGATAAGTAGAAAACAAAGAAAGATCCCCAACAGACTGATGTGCACACACATGGACTAGATGTTCATTCATAAGTAGATTTCCACATTTTCATAAGCCCTTGTTTTAAACCTTAGGCTGCATTTGGTTTGAAGGAAAACTGGAAAAGGAAGGGGAAGGTAGAGAAATCTGTACAATTTTACTTCTAAACTTTTTACATTGCACCTTTTACCCTAAATCAGGTATTCTTTACTAAGATTGCCAAGTGATCCTACATCAATTTGGTATGGAGCATTTTTTTGCTAAAACTCCATGTCAGTCCAATATTTGTGTACTGCCTGGGTTTGGGGGTCAGTATAGTATTATTGATTGTTGAATGAAATGAGCATGATATTTAAAGGGTTTCCTTTGTCAAAGCAATAAAATATCCACATAACAGATTGGGAAAGTAAATAACACTTATCCCCTTACTAATGCAGCCGTGCCCCATATTTTCATGCAACCATATTAGGTAATAATTATCATGACTGTTTCAAAGAACAATGATGTACAAGACATGTCAATTTCAATCTGATGGTAAGCATATACAGATATACTACTGAGTCATAAGGAGAAAATGGGCAAGGCAGTGAAGGAAACAGTATGAAGATTTTCATCTGAAACTTCGAAAAGATTTTGCAATCAAAACTACAAAACAGAGTAGAATAATAAGTGTGATCCAATCTTACCAAAGCATCTGCTTCCATTCCAGCCACTCCAGTAAGTGAGCCACAAAGCATTCCACCATCACCATGCAAGCACCGAAAAATTTTCCCCCCCTCACGGTTGGTAATCTCTGCAGAATCAAGGTTGGCATCCATGGAAGAGACGGATAAAATATATCTCCTAGCTAATTCTGGCCAAGTCAATTCGTTAACTGGGAGCATATCAAGCTTTGTTTTTTTCACCAGAATTGAATTGTCAGCATCTTTCTTTCTCCCCCTTCTAGATTTTGATTCTCCAGCATCAAAATTTGGATCAACAATTGCTGCAACTCTGGACTGAAGCTCACCAATTAGCACTTTTAGCAGAGTGCTATGAGCCTTTGTCAAAGCAACACCAGTGCATCTATTGTAAGTTTGAGATGCAAGCCTAGCTTGGGCTGCTTCCTTCATTGATTCAGTTTCCACTTTAATGAATGCATGTGGATTTTCCCCAGGTACAGTACCCTCAGGTTCAGTACTTGGGAACAAGGTATTGCCACCTGTATGTATGTTTGGATCTCTGGTTTCCTGAATTTCTTTTTCAAACTTATCAAGGAAATTTGAGCTGTCAAACCACGGATTTACAAGCTCCTCCTCAAATTCATCAAATGACAATGGTTCCTTCAGACCCAGAATATCATAGAACCGACTTAGCAACTCAAATACCTGAACACATAAACCATAAAGGGAAAGGTCATAAAACCTAATGAAGTTACAGCAAGAGTTCTGTATCACAACTAAAGAATCACAATATACTTTAAAAAATAATCGCAAGGCAAGGACATACCTGAAGAACATCACCAATCAACTCTGCAGGAAGCCTAGAGCTCAGAGGTTTGCCAGGAGGATGGTGATGATCTATTTCATGATCAACCACACCCTCCCTCCTGGGTCTTTTATACTGTCTGAATAAACCATCTAAGCCCTCTCCTTCCAAATCTCCTACTTGACTCTTCCTTTTAGCCAGGAGAAGACCACTTCCAACCGTATATGCTTTTGATGAGTAATTTCTCTTATCCAGAAATTCATACCGTGAGCATTCATCAACTCCAGGAAGCCGTTCTATGATTTCCTGCACAAATTCCATATCTAGTCCAAATCTATCCTGGTCCAACCATCTTGACAGTGCTTTACACGAGTTCTCAAGGTCAGTCTCACTCTGAATTACACATGGGATGTCAACAGGCCCCATCAAACTGCAAAATTTGGCTAATGAACCAAAATCATCTTTACTTTTTGGATCTTTAACATTAGAATATGATGAACAACCCACATCTAAATCATGATTACATAAAAAATTAAGTCTGCCTTTTTTATTGTAGACTTTGTGGCAAGCATCAACAAGAGTCTGAGAAACCATCCCCCACACTGAAGAAGATGATCTCCCTTCTACTACAAACTCACCAATTTGATCCCTCACTCCTGAATTCTCTGTGACAAATTTGTCAGTTCTCTCTAGTAGGCAACTGGATTGAGATGGCAAACTATTCATTGTTTGAAAATCACAAGCTTCACTTGAACTACTTTCAAAGCATGACAAAGAGTTATGTTCTGTAGGTGGAAGACACAGTTCAGCGAGAATCAATTGGATATCATAATCATCATCATAGTCCATGCCAAAAGTTGGAGAAGCATTAGTTTCTATATTTTCTGTAGCATCAAGTCGACCAAGACTTGTGTTCAAGATGATTGTTGACCCAGTGGGGATTTCTGATGCAGAGCATGGACATCTTTTGACCTTGAAAATAGGTCCAAAGGTACCACCATCCAATACATCACATGTGAAAAGAGACCCAGTAATCCTGTCATGCCAAGAGGATTTATAACCTACAGTCCATATCTTGCTAGTGTCATGATATGATGGTCGGGCATCAATGTTACCCAATGAGAGAACAAAGAAATCTTCATACTGAACCGGAAGTCCATCCTGGAAGTAGCATCAACAGTCAAGCATGAAAACCAAGACTAAATAACTTATGTGACATACTAGAATATATCAAGAATAATTCAATAATCATTATAGCAGCAGAAAATAAGGCTCTATAAGGAACAGGTTGACAAAATAATAAATATGTATTATTCACTTACCTCAGGTTTAGGTTGCTGAAGTATACTGCCACAATCTCCCCCTGCTCCATTTTCTGTAATTCTTCCATTACTCCCTAAGTTGTATGCCATAGTTTCCACAATATCCATGTCAAATGAGGGATCCCTACTACAGCCATTTCTCAAAGAATCTTGATTTTCTGCAGAACTATTCGTTCTTGAAAGTCTTGCAGATTCTTTTCTTCTTCTACGTGGATGTAAGCCTTTCTGAACTGAAGTAAACCCATCACCTCTATCCTCAGCATCTACAGAGTTGCTTTTCAACACCAACCCAAGATGACAGGCAACATCCAACATTGACTCAAATCTCTTGCCATCTGGAGCACAATAAATTGCAAAGGCATCACACCTACCTACATGTTGTTTAAGTTCAACATGCCAGCCTTCTCCAAGTACACCATGCTTTTCAAAAATAAATTCTCTCAGAGCCTGCAGAAACATCTCATTTGTATTCTGAGGTGGTAATCTAAGGGTTGTATTATTGTTACTCCGAAGCCTTCCTTTAAGTGTGGAGCTCGAATCTGTCTCCTCAAAACTTTTAGTAGTAGTTAGCCTTTGGTGCATTGCTTCTTTGGAATCTAAGTTGACTGTTTCAATCATCATACCAGGTTCCTTGAGTAAATCAAATCCATTCCCCACACACAATGAGCTAGAACATGTCGCTGAGGCGCCAAATGCAATCCCAGTAAGAGAATTTTCACACATCGTAGGCATTCTACAAGTCACCAAAACTTCAATCAGTAATCATTCCTAGGAGCAAAACCAAGTAACATAACCGCTAATTAACCAAAAAAGAAGCTATCCCAACCGAATAAGCAATAAATGCATGGAGGTGGGGGAGTTACTTTGATCAATGTTAACAAACAAAAGGAGCAGGGTATACTTTGATCCCAAGGAAAAGAGTAATCCATCCAATGTAAACAAATACAAATAACAGTTTGAGTTGTTACTTTTACCATCACCATCTTAAAAAGGCAGGTATTCATCCTTATACATTCACCACTATTACCAAGTATAGTACATTTAGAGGATTAGTACTGACACATTTGGCAATACTATTGTTGTTACTATTATTTGGATCGACAATAGAGGTGCTCTTTCCTTCTTTTTGAAGAGTAGAGAAATTTTCTTTATGCATTAGCACAAAAATATCATAATAATATATATAAACAGAATAAATACAAAAGGTATGGGAGTCTTTTTATTTTCTTTTTTTCTTTTGTTGTGTGTTTGTGTGAGAGAGAATTGGTATCTGCCCTCTTGCCATTAGAAATCGAAAAAGGTGAGGACAAGATATTCAAACAAAATGCTGTTTTCTTTTCTCTCAAATTTAAGAGAAAATATAGAGAGTCTACGAAGGCACCAATCAATTGTGGAACCCCAGAAAATAGCCTTTGTCCAGTCTCCCATCATGAAAAAATGAAGTAGGTTCTTCCCTGTCTCAGCATCCAACATGAAAATTAGAGTTCCAGTCACCTACTATAAACAGGACTTGAGCAACAAAATATAACCTGACCCTTTACCATTCAAAGACAACCTTCCAATTGAAGAAGGCCCATCTTACCTATCAGGCGATAATCTAAACCTTCTCTTTGAGATCAATAAAACAGTTACACCAAGGATCAATGTACAGAAAGGAAAAAAAAACATAAAATAAAATTGATAGGGGAGGAAATATGGGCCTAATATCTGCATAAAGAAAGGTGTCATACAAGTAAACAAGCTCTCCTTGATTTTTTTTTTTTTTTTGATGAGTAAGCTCTCCTTGTATTCAAGCACAGAAAACTCACAGACACCTTTCAACAAGACACACCCCTATGAGAGGCCTAGAACTCGCCACGCTCCAAGTAGCCAAAAAGGTAACAAACATTGAGGTTGAGCACCCTAAGAATCACTCACCCAAGCCAACGCACTGAACACTGATAAAGACTTCACCATATGGCTAGGGATGTCAATGGACGGATCGGGTTAAATAGTAAACCCACCTTGACCTGATCCTATAGGGTCAGGTTTATTCTGGTAAGGGATTGCATTAGGGTTTTCATTCTTTAAGCCGAGTCACGTTGGGGATTGGCTTGCCCACCCCACCGGTCATGGCTTCTAACTCCAAACCCTTAAAATTTAGGATTTCTTTTCATGTTTATTTTGGTTTTTCTTCTTTAACTAATGGAGGAAGTGACACCTCAGAATCTATTAACCAAATTCCAACCTAAACAAATGTCTTTTAGATTTTCAAAATGTGTTATAAATAATGCAATTGAAAGGCTGTGGGTGGGGAAGGATTGATATCAGGTCCAACCCTACAGGGTCAGGCAGGTTCAGGAAATGGCATGTTTCTGAGTCGGGTGGGGGTAGAATTATTCATAATACCCCTTGTCTTCAACATTTCTTTTATCATCCACATGGCCATGTCATACCCTTCAAAGCTAGCTTTACCACCAGTTGCAGACATTTATTGGATTTTGCTGCTAGCTCTTTGCTCCTGTGACAGGTGGTGTATTTGTAAATAGACAAATAAATTATAGAACCTATATCTTCATAACAAAGCCCATGAATTCAAGCATTCAAAGAAACAGGTTACAACCTTTAATAAATTTTACAATTGGTATCCCAAATTCCCCCAAAAAAAGCTAAGAAAACAAAAGGTCAAAACTAAATCAACATCCCATATCACATCCCGATACTCTTATGCATCAATTCTCCTGATATCCTTAAATTCTTTTAATGCTAGTTGATTGCACCATACAGTAAAATTTAGTCCATTAGGTTGGGTATGCTTGGTGGTGGTTGCAAGCAGTTTAGCATCAAGACCTTGGAAAGATGAATTAGGATTTTCCTGGAGGAATTGATGTTTTGGAAGGAGAGTAACCATCTGACGACATAGTTATTGATGACAAATATAAAGAAACAGAAGTTAGACCTGCAACAAGGTAGTGGATAATAATCAGATCTTAGCCTGGAAGAGCATAAAGAAAAAGAATTTCCAAAAATGCATAGCTGTCAATTTTGTAGTAGGGAATAGAATTCAATACACTTCAAGACGATGCCTGGAATAGTTCAGTCACTGCCTATCCTAATCTGTGCCTTGAGGAAGCAAAACTTAATGAATGCCATGGGATTTTTTTTATAAGTAAAATAAAATTTTAATTAAAGATAAAAGAAGTTACAAAAGAGGGTGACAAGTCATCACCCGAATACATAGACCAACTTTCAGAATAAAGAACAAGCTCCACATTACAAATCTGATAATCCAGGAACTACCCTAAACTATTTCCAAAATCCTCCTGTTCTAACTGACTGAATTCTGGAAGAATCAGCAACCATTCTAACACTGATCTGCCCACAGCCGCGACCATCTTGTCCATGCTGCAGGCTTTGTCTTCAAAAGTCCTTCTGCTCCTCTCCTTCCAAATGTTCCAGCAAATTGCAAATGGGATACAGCTCCATACACCCTAACAAACCCACTGCACCAGCTCAGCCCACTCCTCTATTTGACCCCCAAATGCCATGGGATCACGACCCAGCAAACAGGAAGTGCATTTATTAGGCATCTTATGGGCAAGGCTGGAATGTTCCTCTCAGACCATTAACAAAAAGAGATAACACAAGTATATGACTATAGGACGCTAAAGAGGTTTTTCTAATTACGTCCTTTGATCCTTGAGAATAAGGATTTGGACTTCCCTTATTTTTCATTTGGAAATTCAGACTGTGAATAAAGGTAGTCCTCTTTCTTTTAAAAAAAAAAAAACTGAGACAAGAGTTGTAAGGTTGATCATTGAAGGGGATTCAAAGTTAGCAGTAGGATGGTCAAAAAAGTTAAGGGGTGGTTTGGCAGTTAGGAAATGAAATCAGACACAAGTGAGAAGTAGGGCTGCAAGTCGGGCTGGGTTAGGTCGGGTTGAAGCCAATCCTAACCCAACCCTATGTTCTAAACCCCAACCCGGCCTTCAACCCGACTAACCCAACCCTAACCCAACCCGAAGTCAATTTCGGGTTGGGTTGAACTCGGATTGGGCCCAACCCAACCTTCTTCCCATCCCTTAAAACCTCGTAGAATTTCTTGATTTTAGATCTTAACTCAACTCTCACTACATATATTAATCCTATGTTTCATTAGTATTTGTTTGTTGACGTTTTTTTTTGTTCTTTTGGTACAAAATTGAGAAAAACAAGTATCAGAAATTACTATAGTTTATTATGAGTTATGACTTACGATAGATCTTTCTTAGGCGGCAAACAACATAGAGGAGATGAAGAATAAAATTTTCAAAAAACAAAAAATAATGTTATTAAGGTTTAGTCTTTCTAATTAGAATTAAGTGAAGTAATTATCTTCAAAGAAATACATGATACTATATGGTGGGAGCTATACAAATATCATGCATCTAAACAAATCAATGTACGTTATATATTACATATAACATATATTTATATATGACATGTACTATAGAGTTAGATTCGGGTTGGGTTGGGTCGGGTTGGCTAAGGGGTCAACCCTAACCCAACCCGAAGTAAAGTCGGGTTCATGAATTTCAACCCTAACCCTAATCCAAACATCAACCCAACCCAACTTTTCCGGGTTGGGTTCGGGCCAACCCGGCCCAAGCTGCAGCCTTACTGAGAAGTGGCACTCAAAAGATTCTAACGTCCAAATAAGATGGGTAAGAAGATCTGCTAATTGTCTCACAGATGGTCTGGATAGACAAGAAATCCATAAACAACAAATGTGTTGAGCACAATTGCAATAGGGTGATGGTGGCGTGTGTGTGTGTGTGAGTAATGTAATGGTTTAACTCAATTGTATTCACAACCTCTTGTTGTAACCTCTTGTCATTTTAATCAATCAATGAAATATTTTCTGTGTTGCCAATCAGAGAGAGACAGAGAGAGTTTTAAGTGATGACCACTTTATTTCAAGAAGGTATTTCTAAACATTTGCACAACATGAATCATTTAATATTAGAATGTCCTTTCCCAAGCAAAATAAGAAACAATTCAATTGTACTCTATGTTTGATTCTAGAAGCCAAACTAAAATGGGGTTATATCAGAAACTTTCATGCTAAATCTGCAGCAGTGACAACACCCCATGCCAGCCATAAATGCTAAGTGAAAGAGTGAGTGGTTGTGGGCCATCTGCATTTATAGACTAGCATGGGGCGTTATCATTAGTTCCACAGCCCACTAAACAGCCACTGCATATTGACATTCCGCTAATCCGATCTCTTTTTGAAGACATAGGTGTTAGCTCCAAATTGCTCAAATTAATTCCATTCAGTTCAACTGATAGATTAGATGAGTATATAAATGTATAGGAAAATTACTTGAACTTCTCCTGTGTTTTCTGACAAATACTTAAACCTCCTCTGTTATTTGACGTCCGCAAAAGGCCAAACCACCCTTCACATTTCAAAATAGATATGCAAGTACACCCTTCCATTAATTGTCCTGATGAAAAACGTTTATGTAACACTTTGAGGTTCTTAAAACCCTGTTTTGCCCATGCACCCCAAGTAGACTGACTCCTAGCCTCCCCCTTCTTACATATACAATCTTTACATTACATATTCCCCATGACTCCCCAGAATAATTGCTCTCTATAGACTATTTGCTTAGCCATGAAATGTCTAATTGAGACAAATCTCCAATGATGATGTGGAGGCATATTAGGGCAGCCATACCGTGGATGATTTGGGAAGAAAGAAATTCAATGATTTTTCAGCAAATTGGTTAAAGGCCATTATTTTATTCAAATTGGTTAAAGTCATGAAGGTGTTATCATGGCCATTTACTGAGGACCTATAGGCCACGGCAACTCACTGAAAGCAGAGCTCTAGGCACTACTACAAGGATTGAGGCTTAGCAGATCTCTCAACATTACAAATTTGCAAGTGAAAAGTGACTCACGGACTGTAATAGAGTGGATGAAGAACAACAGGCCAGGGTCATGGTGGTTCAGACAAAGCATCAGGGAAATTAATCAGCTCAGATACAAGATTCACCTGGATTCAGAGATCAGCAATTCTCTAGCCAGAGAAGGAGTAAATAGAGATGCCGGATGAAATGCATTTGTCGTACAACTTAAAAGGGTGATTGTCACAAAAGCTACTGTTAGTAGCTGGAGAAACTATACATCATTTGTACGTATCTATTTTTATCACTACTCAATAAAGGTTTCTGTTACATTCATCAAAAAAATAAAGATTTCTGTTACCATCAAAAAAGAAGCGGAACCAAATCTCCATGCCCTTTATTATTTCCTTAATCTCCACATAATGTTAGGATAACATTATGGAACTTCTCCTTACCAGGCCATTTTTTATCAAATCGGATGTCTTGGTACTTCCCTTTGGTCTAAAAACACTAAGAAACTGCATGCCAAATTGCCAAATAGACAGGGAGTCAAGACCATGAAGAACTCATAAAGACAACCCCACATGGTCAAAGAAATATGGTGCCTTGGACAATCCATGAACATTTTTTTCTGCTGCTGGGTCTTTATATTTTTTGGCATTATAAAGGTTTTCCCAAATATATTTCTGTCTAGATAATAGCTACATGCCAATGGCCCCAGTACCTTAGTCTTAATTGAATGCTAATTAGTCATAATAATGAATATTAATAGTTTAACTGACTTCAATAAATCAAGAAAAAAAAGGAATATGACCTTTCTAAGTCCAAGGTCTTGAGTGATGTTATATCTTATATGTTGGGCTTTAAGCAGTTATAAGGAACAAGCAGAAGATCACAATAAGTTAATTTATGAATTCAATTTGGTTCAGGCGGTTTCTACATCCATTAGACTAGTGAACAGTTTTTCTACCTTTGTATTTTTTCCCTAATAAGTTTCCATTACCTGCCACAAGAATGTCATCTATGCTTTGAATGGATATCATCAATGGTGGGGGAAATTAAAAAATAATAATAATAATGAAAAATACCGTAAATGATAATAAGCCATCTTCAAAACAGAAATTAGTTGAACAAGTAAGCCACACTTACAATTCCGTTCAAGTTGTTTCAGGAGGGAATTATCCAGTTCTGGGGAAAAAGTTGAAGTTTTTCATTTAATTTAGGAATCTTACACTTCAGCAAGTGTTCGCACTAAAGCCGAAGTCCAAATAGGGAAATTATTAAAGCTTATACATATTGCATTTTAAATTCAAATTGTAAAGTTTATATGTGAGAATTTGAGCAATAATAATTTTTGGGCGTCTCTCTTCAAACTGTAACTTTTGGGCAGTCTCATTGCAAGCAAGCTTCAAAATGTTATAGAAAACCAATTACCAGAAGTGGGTGGAGAACTGGCTTTAAGTCATTTAGGAACTTCTAAGTTGCTTACATTAGCACTCCTATAAATTGTTTTCTATGTTTAACTTTAGACAACGTCTTGAGAACCTTTCATTGCCGATTAAAGGAGCTCTCTTCCCGGTTTTCTATTGCTGAAAACAGCTAATGCGATAAACAAAGAATAAAACAGAGTCTCACATGGAAGAAAATGGGATTTTAACTTTTCTTTCTTTTTCTTCCCGGAAGCAAACTACATTTTCAACGCGTCTTTTCTCACCAAGTTAGAATCTTAGAGACTAAAGAACATGAATAAAATAAAAAGAGAAGGATATGAGCAAAAGCCAAAAGCCCATACCTAGAATTCTGCCGCAACTCCTCGCTTCCCTCGCCATCCCCATCGCTCGGCGGCGAAGCATTGATGTCAAGAAGCCTAACACCACTTCGGTTCGGGCCCGTACGAACGGCTCCCAAAGGCCACCGCTTACTCCCCACTCCATTCTTCTGACAATCAGAACAAAGCCAGTCTTCAAGCATGATAGCCTGGCGACCCCTCATACCAGCGCAGCTGAGGTGGAACCCGCGCTCGCAGCCGTCACAGACGAAAACGCTGTTCCTGACCTCCGGGCGGCCACATGCACTACACGCCGACCCACGGACATCACCGGGCAACTCGGCAAGAATTCCAGCTGGTGGCGGGGGGACATCGATAAAAGCCCGAACGACGGCGTACGGGTCCTGGGAGGAGGAGGATGGGGAATCGAGCGAGGACGACGATGGGATCTCGTTGAGATCGATGCCGAAGAGCACCGGACGGATCTCTGGCTTCACATCGTTGGTGCTGGTGCTCGAATCCTTGAACTCCATTAAAGAAAAAGGAACCTTGATTTCGCTTTCGACGGTGCCCTCTGCGTCCTTCGTGGCATTTTATTTTTGAAATTTTCGATTTTTCCCAAGTAGCCGTGACAAATGTGGAGGAGATTACAGGATTCGAAGGCTGCGATTAAGAGGAGGACAAATTAAGTTTCCGTTTGGGCTCGAGACTCGACCGACCGACTGGAGCAGCCAAAAAAACGAGAGAGAGAGAGAGAGAGAGATTAGAGGTGGAGGCAACAAACAAAAAAAGAGGGAAACGAGCAAAGTGCCCAAACTGAACAGACCCCCACCACCAAGACCAATCGAACCAAACACACCCCCACCCCGCCTCTTCTCCTTTCTTCTACCCTTCTTCTCTCTCTCTCTTGTTAATGTGTGTATGTGTTGCGTGTGTTGTGTACGAAAGGTCTATAAGACTATCATAGTATTATGGATGGATAGAACGAGACCCTGCTTTTGAGGGCAAAAAATAAGAGAGTATATATATAATTAATCAATGTGAATTGTGTGATGCGAAATGACTTTTATGCCCTCATCTTACCAATAACAAGTTTGACTGTTTGAATTGAAACAGGGTCACGGAGATGGAGTCATGAGATTTGGTAAGTGTAAAAGGATACCTCTGCGTCTCTGCTCTACCTCTACCCGGCATGCACAAAAGTGGTCTGGTGATCTGCTCAGGTCAGGTCAGGTCAGGTGAGCCGAGACAGACAGGAAACAGGGCACGCGCCATCTCTGATCTAATCATCCGGTAGAACTGTAGAGTTAACGCTTTGAGTTGAGGATCTAAAAACTTGTATAGGCTTTTCTGTCCAAGGTGGCGTCGAGAGCACGATTGATCCCTAAAGACCGGGTGGGCTGAGTGGCTGGTCTCTTGCATAGGCTTTGCTGCACGGAAGAGAAAAAGAAGAAGAAGGTAGAAGAAAAAGTTCGCAAACATCGGGACAGTGTCCATTAACGCAACCTTGACCTCGATCGAAGACAATCCGAAAGCAATATTGTCGTACTTCGGTTCTGCCGCTTACTAGACCGAACATGCGGTATACAATAGTTTCAAATCTCCGGGCTTCTTCTGGTTCTGATAACACTGCATCTGGCATCTGCATAACGTTGAGTTTGAGTTCCAAGATCAAAAACTTCCGGCAGGAACTAATGAAATTAACTACTCCGAGTTTCCTTTACCACCAAAAAAAAATTCGAATTTCCGATTTCGATGAATTACGATAATAGAAATCGTTGCCCGCTGGCTAACTAATCGGCCCAATCTGCCCTCCTTTTCGTCTGCATTACGGCAGTCCTCTTTTGCTTGTAAAAGATGATATTTGGAATAAAAATAAAAGGGTTTGACTATGATACCGAGAAAAATTTAGGGCCAATCGCATTCAGGTGGTGCTCACCATTAGCAAAATTCACGGGATAATCAAAGTTTTCCGCTACCATATCTTTCTGGTATCATATATATTTTTTAAATAATATTATTTCAATGTAACGTTTCCTAACTTCAAAAATTTTATCAACAAAAAAAAATTGAGTTTTAGAACGTTTATATAATTAATAAATGTGCATGGGTTTTATATGTACGAATTTCGATGATGATAATAGTAATAATATGATTTCAAATTTTTTATATTTTTTTATATTTCTATTCTATAAAGATAATTCTTGTTTATGGTTTTTATTCTTATTATTTAATTTGATGAATATATAATATTAGAGATGTATCTAAATGTTTCTATAAAAAATTTATATTTTTTGTGATTCTGTCCTTTTAGAATTTTACTATTTAATTATGACATCAATGGTTGATGTGTTTTACCCAAAATTTTTAATTGATGGCTTGCCACTAAAGATGAAAACAATTCAATTTTTTGGTCAGTTTTGAAATGTGTATCTCATTTCGATCATCAATAAAAACCATTATTCTTTATCATATTTATTTTTCTTTAATATGATTAATGAATTTGTGTATTTTGTTGATATCTTTTGTGATGTTTCCTTCTTTGTTTTTATTATTTAATTTTGGCATCAAGATTGACACAAAAATGTTGAATTGTGGACCAACCTCCAAACAATTTCACTTTGGGGATCAATTTTAAATTTTGTATTCCATTTACAACATCAATAAAAACAATTATTCATGCTCGTTTTCTTTATTGTGAGTAATATAAAATATTGGAAATGTGTGTTTTTCTATAGTTCTCTATTTAATGTAATATTTTTAGAGGTTTATTATTTAAATCATGGGTTGCCCCATTTGACCCATATGGTTGAATTGCTGACTTGCCACCAAGACAAGAGAACAATTTCGTTTTTAGAGGATTTTCAAAAAACATGAGTTTTATATTGTTAAAAAATGTATTGGATATATTATATACAATTAATATGATTTATTCATGACAAAAAATAACATAAATATTAGATTCAATGAGAGAGGATAAGGGTTAGTATCTTTAATATAAGACTTAATGAGAGGGGAATTTAATTAGGTAAAAAGTAATGGTCCAAATTACATTTTCTATGGTGAAAAATAGCAATACAAATTACTTTTTTTTTGGCCTTCACAATCATGAATGAGCCAAATTAAAAATGGGATATTTTAGTTAAACAAAAGTTCCACACTCTCATTCGTACTTATGATCGCAATTGTAAATTCTAAACCATCATTGATTCCCGAAAAGTCCCAACTTGTACCCTCTCCAAAACTCACAACAAGTTAGGTTTTCAAAAATCCAAACCCTCCCCACACATGAAAAATGCAAAACCCTCATCAACTCTACCCTTCCTGCATTTAAGTGTGGACAAATCAGATTAGCTAGTTGGGTCCTAAATCCACATATAACTTTCTATTATATATAAGCAATAAACAAGCAAAATAACATGAATAAATATCAAATTCTCTAACTAATTGATTAAAGCATGTAAAAAGACACATAAGTTATTAATTATCATTCGCGTAAGATTTGAATTAGAAACAACCTCTCTGTCTGTGTAGGATAAAGCTATGAACATTTGTCCCTCCCCATACCCCGCATTGGTGGGAGCCTCATGCACCAAGCTGCCCTTATTTACATAAGATTCAACACATAATACATAAGGCGATATGCCTAACAATGATAGTTTAATTATAAGGACTAAAGGCATTTTAGTAAATTCAATGTATAGGCCAGGGAGGTTTTGGTTTAGCCCAATATGTTATGAGATGTAAAATCCAAATATTCATCCCCACCCCCNAAAAAGTCCATTATTGAGGTAAAAAAAAAAAGAAAAATTGCAACCCCATCAAGGAGAGGGGTGAGGGTGAGTACACGTCATGTAGGGTGCAAATTGCCATCCCTAATCATACTTATAATAGTAGTATAGATATAGATTCGATGATAGGAAGGCTTGTTTCCTTATGAGAAATGGCTCTCCAATACTATCAAGTATTCCAATAGACTTAACACTATTATACAACATCGTCTTATTATCATTGTATTTAGGTCTTATCAAGTCATCAAACCTATAGACTTAATTAACATTAGGGTTGGTTTATGGTCTATTATAACAAAACTTGCAATGTTTGGGTTGGGATTGGACATATGTTTCAAGATTTTTATTTTTTTTAATTACAATTACATATTACATGCTACAAACCTACTAAGAATTAATGGGTGAGGAAAGAGCAGAGCACATGTGAGAGTGTGCATGAGAGGTCCATTGACCATACCACAAAGAGCTTGCAAGTTGCAACTACATGGATTTGATCTCATGCCTCATTGTTCAAAGGGAGGCCAACTAAGGAGGTATTCAGTTCATGGTTGTGCTCACATCTTAGTTCAAGAAAAAACAACCAACATTTTCTATGCAATTATCGGTTATAATCAATTTTTCCAATCCAACAAAATGGCATTATTTTAGAACATATATGGCCTTATCAACCATAAAACATGATTCCTTTATATAAGCATTATATGGCAATTATATGGTGCATCTCATACACCAACGCGGCCTCAATCATAATGCCTCTTGTAAGTACATATGTTTCTCTACAACAGTGACCACGATAAAGGCATCAAACTAGTCATGCGATGGACCGTAGCCATTATGGAAGCCATCACAAACCTACGATGAACCCATAACTTGTCATACACTCGCGACGAGCTCGAACCCACTGTGAACCTGCGGTGGATGAAAGGACCATCGCACGACTACAATGAGTCGATATCACCAATGGAAATACACCTAGCAGATTAAGAGGAATACGTCAAATTAGCTCTGACGTCACTCGCACCACATCAATGCAGGAAACCTACGAAGGGAAGTAGCATATGTGCACGATGAGAATCATCAAATGAAAGGAAATTTCGTTTTGTGGAGATCTCGCGTGACACGTGGCGAACCCCTAGTAGTGCCTTCATGACAACTGACATTGAATTGAAAATCCCCTTTCTAAATAGGAGTCAAACCTCTTTTGGCTCATCTTCAAGGCCTCGAGATCTCCCCTTACAAGGGGCATAGACCATAACAAACACACGATTCTATAAATATAGAAGATCTTTGCCTACATTTTTTACCCAAAACCTCTAGCCTTTCTTCGTCCTTCAAGGAGACCACCGCACTCGGCCTTACTACACCACTTACACCTCTATTTGATGTTTACCTTACAATCAATGGTAAATATATGTACACAAAAATCAGAGTCAATGCTCACATATTATGGTTCAAAAGATGATATATGAACACAACAACCTCTTATAGCTAGATTGTGCGATTAAACAACGTCATTAAAAAATAAATAAGAAAAATAAAGAGTTTTGTATTGTTTTGGAACCGCACCACTATTTTTTAACCATGAACTAAAAACCACATAAGTCTATTTCCTCACTCAAACCCACATTGATAACCCAATCTTATATCAGTCCCTTGTTGATGTAATGTATAGGACCCACATGACAAATGAGAAGCTCACATGGAAGTTTGTATAAATAACTAATATCACATCATTATAATAGGAATTTCTTCTTAAAATTATATTCCCCAATGGTTGTCTTTGGTTTGGTTTAAAACAAGAGAGAAAATAGATTTGAAGGAAATTAAAACACACATACACACACTAAAATCCTATTATAAGTGCATAAATGAATATTTGTAACACATCGAATCTCAATATCAACCAAACATGTTAAAAATGTTACAAGGTCTATTTACCTTTTTTTTATTACATGTCACACTAAAGTCTTTAACAGTGTTATATATGTCAACTGTAACATCTAACTTTTAGCATTGGTTCTCATTTTTTTATTTCATGATAGCATTTGTTAATTTGTTACGAACTCTTCATAACCTTTCTATTTTATGCTTATTTATATCAACCAAATATGACCTAAAGTTTCTAATTGATAGTAAAATATCCCCTCATATTTATAATGAGTACTTTTGTTGGCTGTCATGACAACCTAAAAATCATCAATTGTTTTGTAATTTGTTGATTTTT